TGTTCTGTAGACTATTAAAAATATATATAGCTTAAAGGAGCTAATAATTTTGTCCTTAAAATGATGTTTAAAAAATTTAAAACTGTTTTTATTCTAGCCGAAATAAAATAAATAAGACTTTCTCAAGAAGAAAAAATATTATCAGACATACTGTGAAAATTTCCTTGCTCTGTTAAACATAATTTGCAAATATTTAAAAAAGAACAAAAAATAAATAAATCCAAGGGGGGCTAATAATTTCGACTTTAACTCTATTATTATGAAATTACTGGAAATGAAAATTCTTCTAAATAATTAATGATAATATATATATATATATATATATATATATATATATATATATATATATATATATATATATATATATATATATATATAAATGATTACTTCTGAAATGGTTTGTGTGTATATGCCCTTTTTATAACGGACTTGATCTAAAACACAAGGACAAGAATGAAACAATAAAAGTGCAGCAAAAAAGTTTTACAAACTAATTTCGAGAGCAGCACAAGATCACGACTGGCATCTCATCTCTAATCAGCTATAATCCAATTAGATTGATTCAAGCCTACAATAAATAGACACATTTCGCTGCCTTATCTTTATTTTGGAAGAATCCCCCCTTCCACCCCATCTCCTCCTTTTTCTCCCTTTACAAGGGGGAGCTCTCGAGACCTACCTTATCTCTGACCCCCTTATATGCTTATTGACATGCATCAATTATCCCCGAGCTCAGGGTTCTCTCTCTATTTAAGTGCTGTTTTGGTGACGCATGGCACGGTGTTGCACGATCGCTTTACAACAAGAAGGTCACTGGTTCTAGCCTCAGCTGGGTCAGTTGGCATTTCTGTGTGGAGTTTGCATGTTCTCCCCGTTTTCATGTGGGTTTCTTCCCAGTGCTCTGGTTTTCCAAAGACATGTGGTATAGTTAAATTGGGTAAGCTGAATTGGCCATAGTGTATGTGTGTGATTGTGTGAATGGGTGTTTCCCAGTGATGGTTTGCAGCTGCTGTGTAAAACATGCTGGATAAGTTGGCGGTTCATTCTGCTGTGGTGACCCCAGGTTAATAAAAGGACTAAGCCCAAAAAAAAATGAATAAATAAATAAATCTTAAATTGATTTGAATATTTGGAAATATTTGAATATTCTTGGTAAAGTAAATAAAAAAGTTGTGGAAAGTGTTTAAGGCATTTTAAATCAGACTTTCATGTAAATTTAAAAAAAATGTAAATTTAATCCACCCTTATAATGCGAGTCAACTGTTCCCAACACAGTGATTTATGTGGTATATACAAAATCAGTACGTTTCTGAACCATGGAAACCTTTATCAGAATGGATTTTTAGAAACCCAAGAGATTACTGATTATTAAATGTGCATTAAGTTTATAAGATACGCAATAAGTCAAAACAAACAAACTGAAAATGGTAGTATAGTATCTATTAAATCATTACTTTCTATTTTTTCTATGCTGAATTAAAAAAAAAATCTGAAACTAGGACAAATATGAAATAAAACCTATGAACATGTTTTTGATAAGTAGCCAGGATAACTCAGGAAGGCATGACAAAGTTTCTGATTTAAAAATTCAAATCCATCCTTAAAGAAACCCTTCATATTTGTTCAAAAGTGTGAATGCTGCATCTGATTGGAACCCTGTTCACGTGTGTTGTTGTTGTGAGCCGGCAGTGAGTCTGCTGCAGGCAGCGGCGCTGAACTCTGACTCTGGCACAGGAAGTGAAGTCAGCAGCCGTGTAGCTGCTGCTCCAGAAGGCGATGGCTGTGCTCGCGGCGGGGCTCTTCCTCCCTGCAGCAAGGTTGGCACGGTGTGGAGGTGCTGGTGGCGCAGTGCTGGTTCTGGCGCTCTTGGCTGCTGCGAGCGGTGCGTGCCCTCTGTCATTCATGGGGAGTGGCTCTGTCCAACTGTCACTTCCTGACAGGCTGATAATCAATCTCTTTATTAACTGCTCTGCTGCAGACGGGCCGCCCGGTAGGGAGGGTGGGCAGCCTGTACCGTATACCGCAGCACTGGGCTCCGCTGGGGTCGGAAAGGTTGGCACCGTGAGGCGGCACCACTTCCAGGCAGAGCCCATCCTCGTCACTGTTAGGAATCACACCAGAACTTGCCCGGTCATAATTTATGAAGAGGAAAGGGGCAGGAATATTAGTGACATTTCACAAAAGGTCCATTGGTAATAGAGAGGAGTAGAGATCTCATTACATAGTTTTCAAACCAAGCTACTTTCTAATGGTTTGTGCCAGAGACTTAAAAAAAGATGGACAACACATGTCTGTTCTCCTTCACTGCCCCATCCAAACTCATGCAGAACCAACCATAAACCTAAAATCTTGACACCACAATCCACTTTTTAAGGATCAAATACTGTCAGATTTAGACCTACCTATAAACCATTTTAATGGAAAGAGATCATACAGTAGTTTTCAAACCAAGGTGTTTTCTGATGGTCTGTGCCATAGACTTAAAAAAGATAGACAACACATTTTCCACTGTAGAAAAATGAAGCTGACATGTCCTGGGTATGGTCACTGGCATCTTGCGCTGATAACAAGAGTTTGCTCTGTAGTAATCATCAGTTGAAGCATAGACTTAAGACAATGATGTTGCCAAAAACACAAAAATCTCATATACATGACACCCCTAACACGTACAATGCATGCACATGATGTACAGTTTTCACAGATTCACATTTCAGGCATTTACACGGATGCTGCAACGCTAGTGGTATCAAAAACGTCCACTTTAAAACCAGTTTAAAAAAACAAACAAACATATTTTCAGTTCCTAAAACACCATTGTCATGTAAAGAAACAGGGAAAACACATTTTTTGCTGAAAGCAATGATGTGTCAATGGCCCAAAGGAAGTTGACCTGTCATATGCTGTACCAATGTCACGCACTGCACTGCTTGAACAATAACAGTAACAATACAGATACTAGTCTTCAAGACAGAAGACATGCCTTGTTCACCAGCACCATCTTACTAGACAGCCCCCATCCAAACTCATGCAGATCCAATCAGAAAGCTAGAATCCTAACACCACAATCCACTTTTTAAGGATTAAATACTGTCAAATTTTGCTAGAAAAAATGGTGCATACATCAATGTGATAAGAACTACCTACAAAAACATTTTAATGGAAAGAGATGGTCTGTGCCATCGACTTGGACAACACATGTCTGTTTTTTCCTAGAAAAATGAAGCTGACATGTCCTGGGTATGGTCACTGGCATCTTGCACTGATAACAAGAGTTTGTACTGTAGTAATCATCAGCTGAAGATGTAGACTTGAGACAATGATCTTGCCAAAATCAAAACGTTTTCCATTGCAGTTAAAAATAAAAAAAATAAAATCACATTTCAGGCAATAACACGGATGCTACAACGCAAGAGTTTTCAACAACTTCCACTTTGAAACCATTTTAGGAAAAAAAAAACTGTTGAAGTCAGAATTATTAGCCCCCTTGAATTATTAGCCCTGTTTATTTTTTTCCTCAATTCCTGTTTAACGGAGAGATCTTTTTTTTTTTTACACATTTTTAAACATAATAGCTTTAATAACTCATCTCTTATAACTGACTTATTTTATCTTTGCCATGATGACAGTAAAATATTTTAGTATATATTTTTCAAGACACTTCTATACAGCTTAAGGTGACATCTAAAGGTTTATCTAGGTTAATTAGGTTAACTAGGCAGGTTAGGGTAATTAGGCAAGTTATTATATAACGATGGTTTGTTCTGTAGACTATCAAAAAAAAATAGCTTAAAAGGGTTAATAATTTTGTTTGTAAAATGGTGTTTAAAAAATTAAAAACTGCTATTCTATCCGGAAAAAACAAAACAAAACAAATAAGACTCTCTCCAGATGAAAAAAATTATCAGACATACTGTGAAAGTTTTCTTGCTCTGTTAAACATAATTTGGGAAATATTTAAAAAAGAGAAAAAAATTAAAAGGGGGGCTAATAATTCTGACTTCAACTGTATATATTTATTCACCTTATACTTCACGTACGAGCGGGCACAGCCCTTTTAATCTTTTTGGCTTAAGACTTCCAGTCTCATTCACTTCAATTCATTTTCATATTATATTATATTTTTATATTTTATATTATATTCTAATAATTCTGACTTCAACTGTATATATAGTCCCTAAAACACACTTTCACACTTTTGGCTGAAAGCAATGTTGTGTCAATGCTCCCAAGTTAGTTGACCTGTCATATACCAATGTCACACACTACATTACTTGACAAATATAACAAACAATACAGATACTAGTCTTCTAGACCGAAGTCATGCAATGTACACAGCATCTTGCTAGACAGCCCCCATCCAAACTCATGCAGAACCAATTGTAACATAAAATCATGACATCACAGTCCACTTTTTAAGGATCAAATAATGTATAATTGAAATAAATAATAATAATTATAATTTTAGCAAAAATAATTATTTGCTAGAAACAATGTTTCATACATAAATGTGATTAGAACTACACGAGAAACCATTTCAAGGGGGGGAATAAAGTGTAATTTCATTTTGTATTACATATACTGCAGCCAGCCACAAGCGGGCGACTGAAATGTCTTGTTTTTTATGTGACCAGTGCAGCAATATTGTATGACCAGCTTAAACTTGACTGAGAATTGCATGGCAAACTTTTCCCCTTATGAGAAACTCCTGAATGCTCAAATTCGTGGATTTCGCTCACAAAGATTTTGCCGAGCTCTGGTAAATGTATCGAAACCTGATGCCACACAAGACAGCTATGATCCACTTCCAATGTTTGCTAGCTCGTCCCCACCAAATTTTACATGCCTATGTGAGCCAGGATTGCTTTTTTACTCTCGATTATCGCTCACACGTCAATTCCACATGAGCTAATGGAAAAGTCATGTCGGACTGATGAAGAAACAGTGGCGTATCGCATTAAATATGAATAAGCTACAACTCTATCACTTTCTGTTGTTCTTAGGATGACTTCCTGATGGAAACGCAGAAGACTCTGCTTAGCAGGATCACCGATCTGTGCGCAGCAAACGCAACGGCTGCCAAGGGCACGAGTCTCCAGCCTGCTCCTCCAGACCCACCGGACTGCACCGAGACCACCGATGCGCTTCCCACCCAAAGTCTAGAAGACATATAAGCATAATAATTCTACAGCAAATAACGATAACCATAAAACTCCAAATCCCAGTAATAAAGCCGAAGCTTCTCTCCCTAATGAAACAGTGGCCCTCCTGCTGTTTCCTGCCTAATGTTCCCGCCGAGGCTTCCTCCACTTTCCATAAAGCAATTTTGCAAGCCCACTCCCAACGTGAATCATCTGGAAAGGAAGAGAAGCCTCTCCCTCCATCTCTCCTCGTGTCCCCGGAGGGTGACGCTGACTAAATCTGTGTTGATACAGAGGTGTGCTCTAAATCCTGTTTGCTCGGGCTCCATCTCCCCTAATATTCACACTCGTGTATGAGGCCCCTTCCCTGCCTGCGTCTGCTAATGTGGCGTATCGTCGTCTGGATGACAAGAAGACATCGGCGAGCGCCTCAAACTCCCTCACACGTATCGTTTACTGCCGGCGCGGAGAATCACAATGTGTGGGAAGGAGAACATATGTTAAATTTAAGAAGCTGGGATTTACCTCTGCACGGGTCTTAGTTTACACGCGCTACTCGCCGCTAGCCGGCAACAAAGGACAGATCGCCGTTACAGTGCGGAAGCAATGGAAAAGGTGTTACATCTGAAAATATAGGTGGAACTCGCATCATCTGCCGTTTGTCTTTAAATTCAATGCAATTAAGAGCATGTTTGTGAAATGATGAACAACCTTTCTGAGTTAATAAATGAGTTTGACGTTGGTAGATTTGATTTGAATCTCCGTTAACTTTTCCAAGCTCTGTTTAAAAATAGACCTGCGTGATTTTTTTTCACCCTAAATAATTAGATTTAATTTTCACAACATGTGCCATTAATTTATTACCAATTATTGGTGTTTACCTGATAATTCTTCAAAAGGAGAAACTTGAAATGCAGCTGCACGGAAGACGTCTGCTTCTAAAATAAGACAAACGGTTCCACGCGCATTGCATATCAAAAACTACAGTATTGGCACTCGGAGATTTGAATGCCTTTCTTGGCAAATCCCAAATTACTCAAAGATTTGGTGATTGACAGCTGAGGGGGGATAACTGTATTTAGCCAGGGACCATGTTTCCTCGTCTGGCGTGATTTGGGTCTCATGGAGGATCGGCCCCCCTGGTGGTTGCCCCCCTCCTCCTCTCGGCACGGGGCAGGGGCAGATTGACAGAACAGCATGGGGGCAAGCGCCACTGTGCCAACAGCCCCCTCCACGCTCTACCTGATGTTTTTAACAAAGGCTTCCGTCTCCCCAACTCCTCTGCCGAACATCGCCCAGCCAGATTCAACCCACCTCGGCTCCGCAACAAACACATTTTGAAAGCCGATCGCGAGGATGTTGGGAACAGATGCACAGACGCTAGCAATGATGCGGCGTCTACGGCTGCACTCAAAGATAAAATGTCACACACTTTTCAGTCGGAGCCCAAGAAATTGGACAGTTGTTAGTGAGCACCTGCTTGTCATTGACGGGAGGATATTGGCGGCTTGTTTTCTTTGATTTGTATGTTTAGTTTTGTGTTGAGGGAGACCGACCGGGGTTAGCTGTTACAGTTTTTGACTTTAGGAAATGTTCTGCCGTGTTGGTTTGTTTTTAATAGTATGGCCATGAGTACTGAGTTTGGAAAATAATAAAACATACAGAAACAAATTCCAATGTGGAATTTAAATAAAAAATGTAGCTCAGGGCTTGTTGTCACAATTATTATATACAGTTGAAGTCAGAGTTAATAGCCCCCCTGTTTATTTGCTTTTTCCAATATCTGTATAACAGAGAGAAGATTTTTTTCAACACATTTATAAACATAATAGTTTTAATAATTCATTTCTAATAACTTATGTATTTTATCTTTGCAGTAATATTTGACTAGATATTTTTCAGTACACTTCTATACAGCTTAAAGTGACATTTAAAGGCTTACCTAGGTTAATTAGGTTAACTGGGCAGGGTAATTATAGGTAAGTTATTGTATAACGATGTTTTGTTCTGTAGACTATCAAAAATACATATATCTTAAAGGGGCTAATAATTTTGATCTTAAATTGTTTTTGTTTTTTTTCACTAAAAACTGCTTTTATTCTAAAAAAAAAAAAAAAAAAAAACATAAAAAAATAAGACTTTCTCCAGAAGAAAAAAATCTTGGCAGACATACTGTGAAAATTTCCTTGCTCTGTTAAACATCCTTTAGGAAAAATTTTAAAAAAGAAAAAAGGGGGGGGATAATAATTCTGACTTTAACTGTATATATTTTTACATTAGTTAATAGTTTAGTTTTTAGGTTTCTTTTTAAAGTCAGTTTATATACAGGCATGGATACCAAAATAAAAAAAGTAAATAAAAAAAAATTAAATAAAATGAGTCAGGTAAAAGCATCCATGCTATCTTTAGTTTTCATACATGATTGTGTAAATATTTCTCAATGTAAGCCATTTATACTAAAGGTTTAGATACTGACAATTTGGCAAATAAAATACTATTGAATTTATTAAATAAATGTAATAATGGGAGGAATAAAATGTTTACCACATATACAACATGTTTCAATTATGCTAGTAAAATTATGCAAAAGAAAGAAAACTGGAAAAAAAAAACTAAAGGTTATAAATGTATAGACATTTTGATAGATTTTATAATATAATTATAAAAACTATTCACACTGCAGTATATTCAATCCTTTGATCTAATTATCAAATTAGAAAATTCAAGGTAAGCAACTATTTTTACATTTTGTCAATAATTTTATTTGTATTTTTTGTTTTAGTTTAATTAAATGAATTTTTAATAATTTGGTTGCGTGATTTTTTTAAACTCTTTATTTTAATTTTCATAGCAAATACCTTCATACTGTACGGCCTAAATCCTTACAAGAAGCAGATGGACCATATATCAATGTTCTCTTGGAACTACAGTACTCCATCAAAGAGAATTAAGCTTACTACAAAACAAAACTCAAAACCATACCTCACACCCATCTAATACTGATTAAAATACTTGTGGAAGGTTCATACAAAATAAAATAAGGCATAGATGATTAACATTTACAATCATAATATGGAACTGGCTGGGGCAAAAAATTTAATTTGAAGCAAGGTTTACATGGACAATGAAACCAAAGGGACATTATAAAAGAATTCTAAAATAAATAATGAAATCAAATGAATTAATTAACATACAATAGTCTAGTAAAAATCAGTTCAGTCTATCTGCAAAAATAATATACAAGGTTCCCAAATCTTTTTAAAAATGGAGAATTTGTCAGTTAGTGTGCATCGCAGTTCTTTTAAGTGTAACATTTCCAATATAGTAATTTTACCTGGGTTTTAATGAGTTAATTTAAAGTTAAAAATAAATTGAATGCATTTATTATTATATAGTTATATAGTAATAATTATAGTTCTAATTTTAAAATGAAAATGTTTCCTTAACATCTAACTAAATAAAATGTTATTATTTATTCTATTTCATTCATCATCAATTTCATCTCAAGTAAAACAAAAAACTATGTTTCTTGTTTAATTCTCTCTGTTAATGATGCACGTTGCTCTTTTACTGACCCCCTTCCTAGCCGTCATTAATCATTGGGAAGAAATTCTCTGACTTTCCAAAGGGGCGATTGGAGAGGAGCGCATGCCGTCTGACGCACATTTCTTGGAGGTGTTCCCCCGTTTTGATGAATTTCCGGCCTCGGCACCAGCATCCCTGCTGCACGTGTGTCTGCATCTCCTCTTTCCTCCTGTCAACATGATCCTGTGCACAATCAGTCGCGGGGTGCAGATTCGCAGGGTACCTTTCCGCTCCTCGCCGCGTCCTCTGGCCTCACTTCTCCGTCTGCTTCATCCGTGAGTAACACAACATACAAAAATCAAACTCAAACTAGCTTAATGGCCGGATCCATGAAAAATGTCCACTCATGCAGGCCAATTTTTTAAAGCTTAGTTTGCTGAGAATTAAGGTACTATTGAACATACCACCCACAACATAATTTACTAGAAAACCGAAGACACGTTTTTTTATGTTGTTTTTTAGCGATTTTTTTTAACAATATTTTTACAAATTTTGTGAAGGTGCATTCACTCAAAAAAAAAAAAAAGTTTGCTATTTGTTCAAACTACTTATTTAAAATGAGCTGAAAGAACACTTCTTGAGTTTTTTTGGGGACAACTTAATAATTTTATGTTCAATCCACTTAAATGTATAAAAAACTTAATAAGTTAACTTAATTCCTTCATGTTGCGCCAACACAAATTGATTGTGTGGAATGCAGTTTTCCTACATTGTTGGCTGTTTTAGGCCTGTCATAGATGTCAAAATGCCAGCAGGTGCTAGGAAGTCGCTGTCTTAATGAGTGAATCAATGACTTGTCAATTCAAACGATTCGTCTAAAACTGTGATTCATTTAGACACGCGGCAAATTACATGATTCAAATAATTGAATCATTGATATAGATTCATTCACAAATGAACAATTACGTTTTTGCTCTACACATATTTGGAACAGTTTGTTATAATCCAAGAGATCAAAAAGTATGAAATTTAAGTCTCGTAAAACCAATTTATTTTTCTTTTTTTTTGGAACTGATGTGTAAAACAATTAGTTTGTGATTATTTCAATAAAACGGGAGCAACTGAACTCTTAGTCATTTGATACTACGGTTTAGTTAATTTTAGTTAACAACTATTAATTCATTGCAATGTCTTCATTCTAATAGGCCTCATCCCACATGATCACCAACGCTTGTCTGTTTTTGCTCACAGGTCTTTAAAACTACAATTATAATATCATAGTAGATATTAAAGTAGACAATATATCACAGTTCTAGTTCCGCAACTTTTTCCATCTGTATATATTCTATAAATCCTAAATAACATACTGTAGCTGATACACACAAATTGAGAATTAATCACATGTTTTTGCTCCAGATTCGTTTGAAACAATTTGTTATAATGCAAGAGATCAATAAGTATGAAATTTAAGTCTCTCAAAACCAATTTATTATTATTATTATTTTTTTAGACTGCTATCTAAAACCATTCATGTATAAAACAGGAGAAACTGAACTCTTACTCGTTTGATACTAGAGTATAGTTAATTATTTCACATACAGTATAGCTGTTAATTAATTGCAATGCCTTGATTCTAATAGTAATTATCCCACATTGAATGCTTGAGTTTTTCTCGCAATATTACAGTAGACAATATATCACACTTCTAGTTCCTCAACTTTTTCCATCTGTAGATATTCCATTAATCCTAAATAAAATACTGTAGCGAATACACTTAATTTTCTAAATGATGTTGTATTTATTATTATGTTATATTATTGTTTAAATCATCCCTCTGGTTGGATTAGATGTTTTTGCAGGCCATATGTTTGACAGCCGTGACGTAGACAATTACATCTCACCACTTCATAATCTTTCATTCTCATCACTACTGCATTGTTGAAGGGAAAATGGATCGATCTCTTTTTCTTTTACTCTTCCAGTCAGCAAGAAAGTAGTAAAAAATGACTTTGTGGGGCAAAAACAAGGTATATCGAACAGTAAACATTATATGCATTTTACTTTTGCTTAGTTTGTCAGCATGAAAGAACCTTTCAATGTAGATATCTAGAATATTATTTTGATACAAAGTAAGTTATAATCCCAGACTCTGCCCTGTAATCAATAAAAAGACATTTTCAGGGCCAGCAAAGTGAGTGCAGCCAATGATAAATATTGGCA